ACACCTCTTTCAATTTCGCAATTGTTTCATATTCAAAATGATTCCTGACTGAATTCCACAACTCAAAATTGAAACCATTACTTCGAACACCCAAAATTTTGACTAATTTTCATGTGATCTGATGCAGAGAGAATAATTGTATGAGATATTTTTAAAAATAATAGTCGTTCTCAAGACTTTACATTTTAAGCAATAACTCAACAACGCCGTAACCGAATTTCAAAAACCAAACATGAAATGATATCAGAATTTAACGTAGCATCTGAATATGTAATGATATACAGGGCGTCCTATTTTAAAAAATGGAATTTTGGTCTGTTGCACCTACACCAAACACCTAAAACTCTTGTATGAAACATATTTGTGTATCTCCTTCAACAAACCAGATACTGCCTGTCACATAAAATGTGGGACACCCGGTATAGGTATAATTCGGTATTTTTGGTAATTTACGTGTTAGCTGCCAAAGCAATTATTAATTTACGATGTTCCTGTCATATACCTACTCAGAACTAGGTCCAGTGGGGCCAACGACTAATAATCATTAGTTCCTGATGTGGGATCAAATTCTATAGAATTGTCTGATAAATTTGGTATTACTCCACAGCTTGAAAAATAAGATAAAATTCATTTGTTTGATACTCTACAAATTCTCAAAGCAAATAGAAATGCAAATATGAACAACAAGAAACCAGGTGAGATTGATGGAGTAAAGGAGAACTGAATTTTTGAAATTCGATATGAAATATAAATAATTTTTTTTTCGAAGAAATAATACATTGTTATTTTTGTTACACTGTGTAGAAAGATGGAAACAGATATATAGGAAATATGTTATTGTTTATAACAAATTCTTTATTAAATTAACAATGAAAATTCAAATATAAACATTCATCAACAATCAAAGAGCAAAATGAAGTTTGATCTGAAAAAAATGATTCCTCAATATATCTATTTTGGATAGAGGTAGAAAAAAATCATTGTTAATTAACAAATCCGTCTTCGAACAATATATTTTTTCTCAAGAATTGAATATTTCAAATCCTTTAGGCAACGCATTTGTTTATAACAACTTCTTGAACAATAACAGATGAAAGTTTTTAAAAATCATTTTCATGTAGCTTCTAATTATAAAAAAAGGATCG